TGCTTGCCTGGTCAACAGGCTGTTACTGTTGGCGATTCACTGACCCATACATCCATCACAGCCCGACTGATCTGACACTAGCCGGAGGTAGTGATTTAGTGTCCTCTTGAAGATTTATACATTTGTTCCGGCAATATTTCTGATATATGCTAGTAACGGGTTGAACAGTCGCGGTCCAAAGATGTTGATACAGTGTTCTCTTAATGTGCCCACGGCGATCCTGCTTTTAACTAATTTATTTTACACTTCCCTCAATATCTCTCACTCCAGCATGTTATGGTAGTCTGTAGATCTGGGACTACGCTCTCAAGTATCGTCCCCATATACCGTATGTCATGTACCACTGAATGTTTTTTTAGATTTTATTCAATGCGCTTCTATGTTATATTAAAACTGCAGACTCATTGTCTATATGCATACAACACCAAGTCGGTACGTCTATACAGGAGGTTAATACTTGGTTTGAGACATACACCTCTCGGTATATACATCTCAGTGAACACATTATATTATATATATACATGTATATATATATATATATATATATATATATATATAATATATATATATTATATATATATATATATATATATATATATTATATATATATATATATATATATATATATATATGAGAGAGAGTTTAATCTCAGTTTAGTAATTAAAATATTCTTCATGTTAGTGTATAGGTGTATTGCAGCATTAATGACCTACGTGACCGGATGTTATACAAGACCAAGTTGATACTACCGTTACATGCTTGTGTGACGCAAGATACACCCTCCATGCCGTTATTGTTTGGCCTATTGGCACGTCTGGGTTCCACTTTCCTTAAGCGGAGGTGCCGTACTTAATCATTCTAAACTCCCACACGATTACTTACAAAGTGTGTTCGACTGTCTGAAATTTCCTTCCGTGCATACGCTTAATATTTAAACTGGATACATCAACAGGGTGCTGTTACCCTTAATCTACATGGTAGTTGCATATTGGGTACAAAGGTACCTTTTCTCCAGTCATCTTCTATCACATAGGATTATTATTATTATTATTAAAGATTCGCCGGCATTCTCCCGGCCCGGGCCTTTTCCAAGTGGTGGCCCGGCCATCACATAGGATGGTTTTCGTATATCATCTGGCTAAGGGACTGACCATGTATCATGGCTGAGGGACTGATCGTTTCAACATTACCTCTCCACCCCTGTTGTCTCCAGTGTTATTATTGCTCGTATTCAACTGAAGCCTATTGTGAAGCCTAAACGTTTCCAGTAAAGATACATAAATGTTGCACATGTGTCTTGTAGTTTGTTACTTTCTCCAAAGACATGTTTCACTTGACACATTTCGTTATGATGGACAATGGATCTTCCGTTTCCTTCTGTACTGTTCTACTTATTCAGTCTCGTTTGTTACTATTTTTCTAACAATGGTTTGTAAGCTGTTCTGAGAAAGGAAAATTATATTCGTCATTCTCTTTGCTGCTGATTTGGCCAATGGGTCGACTGTCGTGCTCCAGGAGGTCTGTGCCAGAGGGAATGGAAGAAACAGACACAGAAGCAGTATAATGTTAAGATTTATCGACTACGTTTCGCCCACACAGTGGGCTTTATCAAATCACAAACAGATCTACCCACGAGGGTGAGAGAGGGAGAGTGGGGATAGTGGAAGAGCACTGGGGGAGAGGAAGGTGTTGAGCAGTTTAAGAGACCAGGCGCGGGAAGCAGGGCTCGGTGTACAGGCGACAACAATGAGTCATAAGCAATGTTCGCTGCTTTCGACTTGTGCTTGGTGAGGGGTGGATAGGATAGAATTACCGTATTGGATGGTTTTTCCAAATGAACGTCTTGACAGGTCCACCCTTGCATAGAGCAGTGCAGGAGGTTTAGTTAGGTTATGTATAGAGATGGAGGAGCAGGGTTGTAGAGAGATTGAAATAGATTTAGAGGATTGTGAGGCAGTCTAACGGTTTCGTCCAAGTACGTTGTCCATGAGTCTTGGTAGTTTTTCTAGTCGGTCGATCTGCCTATCACAGAGCTGTTTCCAGAATATATTCAGCGCCAGGTCCTGGTGTGGAGTGTCATGTAGGGGGGTAATGATTAGGGGAATATGGGGGTAAGAGGAGGGAGTCAGTAGGTAGGGGACAGGCGAGGTAGTAGGAGGGATGAGTGCGGAGGTCGGTAGGTAATGTGAGGTCACTGGTGACTACACCTTCACCTCTCATTACTCTACCCACCACTCTACACTACTCACCCTCTCACTACTTTAACTGAAATAAACTAATGAATAAATAACGGGGACAGTGAATATTACTATTCTACTCAAACACAGTTTATTATTAAGTCTTTGTACAATAATATATTTGGGAACAGGAGAACATTATTGTGGTTTAGACAAATGGGATGGTACATATAAGCAGTGAGACAGGGAACACAATCAACTTGACGAAAATGAATATAACTTACAATATAGTACAGAGGACAGTTCACTACAGGAACTAAGCCACAGGTCCCAAGACCTACACAGCACGAGTACTGCTCCAAGCCAGCACTCTGCCCAATGTCTCCAACAGTCTCTCCTTCCGAGGCTCTCCAGCTCAGCTCTGCTCCCAGGCCAGAGCTCTGCCCGAATCTGTCTGCTCAGCTGTTCCTTGGGCTTATATTGTCCCGAGAGCACCCCCCACAATGAGGTGTGCACACGTGGTGTTGATCTGACGCCGTCCAGAACAAAAGACCTGTCTTAAGCCGAAAAGGCATGGCTCTGACAGACATTTGCC